TCAGGCATTAAACTGAAGTTTGCACAATTTCATGAAATTTTCATCGGGGCTGTATGTGATGACGTAAATGTCTAATGCTCCGGACTTTTTCCAGAGCTGTTCCTGTCAACCCCTTGTATATTGTGCAGAAAATGTCAGAGTGAGTCCAAGAATGGAAAATTAACAGCTAGTGAGTGTTGATGTTTCTAACACGTGACAGATGCAAAACCAGGAGAACCAAAAAATCTCAGGATGAAAAAGAGGAGTCATACACGTAAAAGATGCACGAAGACGCTTGGAAAGACAGCAAGATTCCAGTGCTTTTGATGATAGGAGCCAACGCTGGTGATGTGCTGTAAACAAAACTGTCTCCGTCATGTCCTGCCTCCTGCAGGCTCCACCCAGACGCCACCCCTCACGTGAATGTTCCGGACACTTTACTGTTGTTGTGAACGCGAATGACCCAGACATCCACCTTTTCCGAGTTCTTCATATGTGAAAGTAAAAACTCTGGGAAATGTTCACACCCCATGTTCCAGACATTCATGTATGAAAACTACTATACTGTGTGTTTAGTAAGTGGAAAACTGCTCTGAACCGCCCGCAACCTGTTTCTTCATCTTTGAAACTTAATCATACTGGAAACGCTTTGTGCAGACGTGAAGGGCATAAATACCTGTGAGAATGATGACAGGTTGCAGGAAAAAAAAATCAGGTGTGCACTGTGCACCGTGTGCTTGTAGTTTATGGCCCTGACAACCCTTTTTGTCACTCCGACTGAGAGATTTAGCTGCAAAAACACGCAATAAACATCCGCTATAGGTCAAACTGCCAGCACAAACTCACAAGTACCAGGTGTTATCAGCCGTCGGGAGCATAAAAACCTTGAGACTCTTTTCTTTGCATGTAGAAAGAAGTTGGGGAAGCTTATTCAAAGGGAGATTTGCTGCATGCAACAACTTGTATCTGCAGATTCTTAGACAACACAGCAATCAACTGTCTTTGATGAAAGAAAAATGGTTTTCAAGACTTTTGACAAGGTCTGCAGCTTTATCATTTTTACTTTTACAAAATGAGACCAAATCAAACAAAGAAGGTATTTTCCAACAAATACAGTTCTTCTGAGTAGCAGACAGAGGAAAAACATAAATCTAAAAACCTCCCAGACGACACTTTAATGCATCGTAATTTTTCTGATTTATTCGTTCTTGATGATGAGTCTGACATTTTGGACCATGCCTCTGGGGAATAAAGAGAACCTGGGGACTGTACTGAGAGACTACAAAACAAATCTATTCTTCCTCTCCAACTGTAACCGTTGAACCCTTGTCAGTGCACAAAGGAGTCTAGAGAGCCATAAAACAAATCCCCAGGGGCCCCATATATCACAGAGGCCACACCAAAGAGTGAAATTACCCTATTTTAAACATGTGTGAATGCTTTTTGTTGACCAGGGGAGAGCGGACGGTCACAGAGCTCGCAAGAGCAGTTACAAACTATTATGCAAGACATCCAGCATGTGAAATCAGCCCAGCGGGGGCCGTGGACGGAAATGTCTCAGTGCGCTAACACCCGTTAAAAAATAAAAGTGCAGACGACAAGCGGTGATATTTTTACGTGAACACTGATGTTTTTAGTGATTTGTGAGCGTGTCAGTGTTCACACGTTGCTGCACTGGTGTCCAGAGATGATTAGAAGGGAGATGGTGATGTGGCTGACAGATGCCAGAGTCAAACCTTAAGTAGGCAGGTGCACAAGTGCAACAACAACAGGAGCCGACACCTGTAGAGCTGGCTCGTCCTGCAGGTTTGACACACTGAGACACAGCAGATTCAGGCCTGTTAAAGGTGATAATCATCCCACTGGGTGCGGACAATGGACTGATAATATCTGTTTTTAAGTGACAGTGGTTGGAGTGGTTTGGCTGGAAAGAGTTTTTCTTCAGCAGCTTTTTTCCCCCCCGTTCTTTTCGTGTCCACACATCTTCAGCAACATTCAGACAGACGACCCGCACCAAGCGACCTCTCCAAAAGAAACTAGGACACCAACTGATTCGTTTTTTGTGCATATTTAAATAATCGTGAGAGAGAAAGGAACATGCTTTGCCTGGTTGCCATGGAGGGGATTAAATAAGCAATATAAAAGACAGCCTGGGCTTTGAATAGAAGTGTAGAGATGGGATTAGTGGCGTTAGAGAGGCCGCCATATGACCTTCTGACTGTTGAGTTCATTAAGCGCACCGGAGGCCTGCAGTTTGTGTTCGTCGTCTAACTGTTGTTTAACAGCAGCTCCTTTAGCTGTTTAATGAAGCCACATGTCCGTCAAAAACACTCAAGTCCTCAACACCAAGTCGTGTTTCATTTCATTATAACTAAACACACAAAGCACCATTCACGTCTCTGCTAAACAATTCGTATCTGAAATCTATCTCCTTCTAAACAATTCTATCATGAACGTCTCCTCTGAGCCGAGTTCACTGTGGAAAATGCTGACACTCGAGTCCCCGCAAACATCATCAGTGCAGATGTGGGATCTTGGTGACCTTTATCACTGGTGGTCACATCAGCGGAGGAGGAGGGAAGCTTCGGAGGAGACGCTCTGTTCCATGAATCAGGCAAAGAGGAGACGACGAGACATTTCGAACTGTGCGCGGTGATGGATTCAGTGTCACATGAAGATAAATCCAACAAACTCCAGCGTGACACAGCTCTCCAGACAAAAGCAGAATTTTGACAGCAGGTTCAGGCAACACAGGAGGATTCAGACGAGCTTGAGATGGCTGATAACAATGAGCTGAGGTTAATGATGGTATGAGTGGAAAAACATCTCTGACATGTATTACTGCAGATATAAAAAGGCAGCTGAGGGATGAAAAAATAAAAGTGGTCCAGCAAAAAGATCCTCAGTTTTTTTCTCACAATATTTGTGGTGAACTCGGAGTCCTTCCTCTGTTGTTTTCAGTTTAACTCCATCTCTCCCACTCTGGCCTTCAATAAACAACATCTATAAACTGAACCATCAACGCCATTGAGAATTAAAAGTAAATAATTATAACAATCCATTATCTATGACACTTATGATCTAAGCATTGGCAGGAGCCGCTCCCTGCTGACACTGGGCGAGAGGCAGCAGTGTATCACACGGTCGACATAAAGAGACAAACAACCACTCACACCTACTGTCATTTTAGAGTCTACATTCAACTTAACCTCAATCTGCATATCTTTGGACTGCGGGGAACCCACGCATCCATGAGATAGCACGAAAAGATTCGAACGAAGGACCTTCTTGTTGGGTTGTGGACATCAACCGTGCTGCCCTAGTAAATAACTGTGATCAGGAAAATGTCCTCAGCCTTCTCCTGTTCTCCCACTGTCATAATATCACTCAAAGACTTGTCCTTTAGCTGAGTGGTGAGAAGACAACGACTGTGGCTCGTGGCCAAAAGGCTCCAGACTTTAAAGAAACAATGAATTTGGTTTATATGTCGTCACACTGGTCAACAAAACATTCTCAACATTTAATTCTAAGTCGATATCCAAAGTAAACATCATTTTCTTCTCGGACAGAAAATCAACATGTGTGTCAGAGACTGTGGGAAGCCCGCACAGACACAAGGAGAATATGCAAACTACACATAGAAAGACCCCATCCGAATCGGGATTCACACCAAGAACTTTATTACTTTTTCCAAGTAAACAATGGATTCAGTTTAAATATTATCACACATTTATATCTATGCTTAGAATCCAAAGTAAATATCTTCTTCTATTCAGGTTTATTGATCTTTAAGAACAGAAGCCAACATGTCTGTTTGAAACGGCCTCTTTAAAGCTAAAGTATGAACACGTATCTCAGATATTTCATGTGGGACTGTTTCCTGTGTCTAACCGTGATTCAGGAAAACCCTGCGTGGCGACATCTAAATAAGTACAGCGTGACTCATGCGTCCTTGTAAAGGTGTCAGTGTTACAGGTGTCATGGCGTGTCAGACAGTCAGGCAGACTGATGATGTCTCACCTTCCTCTGCCTCAGGAAATCACTGGGACATGACTAATCCAGACATCCAGAGAGACATGTAGTGTAAAGTGAGTCACCTACAATCAGATTTTTACGTCCTTCCACTGTTTTGTACCAGAGTTGTGTCTGTTGTGTGTAATCATGAGGATCACACCGGAACTGAACGTCAGTTCTTCAACCAACTATTACTTCCTTCACGGCTCAGTCTTATCTGACTGCTCAATAAATTGTTGAGTATAAAAAATCTTCAGATTATTTTTTCCCTATCACCAGCCCAGAGATTTTAAACTTTATGTTTCAATAGATGTTCAGAAGATGTTTCAATAAAAGCACTGAAATGACAGAAATGCTGTTTTAATGGGCTGAAAAAACTAAATAACAATACTTCCTAACTCAATTATGAGTTTAGAGTCAAAATGTCATCATCCTTTGATCTGTCAATTTATTGAGGAGTTATTCTATGAAATGAAAAAAAAGAAAAGAAAGTTGCTCATCATAACCAAGGTGACCTGTTTGAAATGTCTCCTCTTGTCCGAACAATGACATAAGAAACAATTTATATCAAAAACATAAAACTGACGGATTCTTTCAGCTCTTAAATTAGAATATACTGAGGTTCGTGGGGGTAAAATAAGCAACATGAAATCAATCCCCTGTCAGGAGCTGTCCTGTTCATTGAGTGAAGTGAAATATATAAATGATGACATTAAAATGATGTTGGACTGAGAAGAATACTGAACCACCACTGTGTTGCTGCACTGTGAGTTATAGAGGGACATTCCTCATAAGAGCTCACACCCATGTGAAGGAATGAACCAGATACAAGTTCAAATGATGCAGAAAGATCGTGACCAAGAAAGTACAAGTTAGAGGACAGACAGAGAGACAGACAGAGAGAGACAGAGAGAGACAGAGAGAGAGACACACACACAGAGAGACAGACACAGAGACAGACAGAGAGACAGACAGGTAAAAGACCATCTTCATCCATCATGTCTCACCAGAGCTCGCAGAGAGGACTCATCCAGCGCAGAGTAACTCTCCACCGACATCTTCCTGTTCACCGACCCCCGGCTGAGACGAGCAGGTCCGGACTGAGAGCGTCTGTGTGTCCGCTCCAACAAACACGAGCCACCTGCAGGACTTCTTCTCTCCGTCCCTGCTCGTGTCTCCTCTTCGTGTTCGGTTCGGTTCGGTTCTTCAGTCGGAGCGGCTCGTTCTGTGTCAGCGGAGATGAACTGGAGTCCTGCTCGCGGAGGAGATCATGATCCACTGACCGTCTGTGGAGGAGTCGCAGTGGAAGCACACGCACGCGCGGCTGTGCGGGAACGTTAGCAGCTTTTTGAACCGAGGATTCCCACTCAAAGGTGTAAGCTCCGCCCCTCTCTCCATGAACCCCGGCCTGTCCCGGAGCTCATCTAAAGCGCGCCGCCGTGCGGAGGCACAGGGAACGACATGTGTGTGTCTTATGTTGTGGGGACATCAAACTATACTTCATGGGGACTTGTCTTCATTATGGGGACAAAAAAATCAAGTCCCCATAAGAAGAATCATCACATTTAAAGGTGAAGACATGTTTTCAGGTTAACTTTAAGTTAAGATTAGGTTTAAGATAATGTTAAGGGTAAGGAAGATGAAAAGCATGTCTCCACTTCTTCCCAATATCCAAAAGTGAAGCCAAAAGAGCCTGATATAAACAACAATGATGTCATTTGTTGCCAGAGTCTGCACAGTAGCAGTCATCGGATGTAAACTCATCACATATTATGTCTATCTGTTCTCATCAGTTTGTGTCTTAGTTAGCAGGATTGCGTGAAAACTACAGAACAGATTATAGCTAAACTTGAATGATGCGGTATGAGTCAGGGAAGAACTCGTTAAACTTTGCTGCAGATCCTCCTCAGGGGGCAAATCCAGAATTATTATTTTTTTCACTTTTTTAAGCATTGATAGATCGGGCATTTTTCAACATTTCATTAACATCTCAAAGAATAATTCATGCATCTCGATGAGAAAAAAACAGGCATGTTTGGACTGATATTTGTGAGTGTGTGCAACTTGGTGCAGATCCAAATCTAAAGCTGGGTCTAGTGGTTTTAAATATGGCTTTGTAAGTGACCTGTTCGGACTTCGCTCTACTGAGTGTCATTCTAGTTTACAGTTGTATTAGTTTAATTTTATTTTGGTACCACATTACACCGTACAGGCACTTCACAGAGTAAAGTAAAAATGTTAGAGAGAGAAACCCAACTGTTCCCACAATCAGCGACTTCATGTTGATAGTGGGAAAAAAAATCATTTTTCCATTGTCACAACAAAACCTATGCTGGATCCTGGTGTGACAGGACTCTTATCTTTGCTTCTGATGCCACAACAAATACATAAAAATGCTGCTCTGGTGTCCCAGCTCCTTCGACAGCATTCATCACTATATACTGTATGAAAGTCAGCAGATGAGGAAGGAGAAGCTGATGAAGTGGTTAAATGACTTTAAATATGGGCATTTAAAAACAGATATTTGAGCTTTTATTACCCAGGTTTGATAACATAACAAAAAAAACTGTAGAGGCATGAAGGAGACACAACAGAATAAAAAATCGGAGCCATGAACGTCCTTATTAAAACATTTAATAACCGTACAAGTCAAAGAGAAGAAAGTTGTTCTTTAACAGGACTTGTCAGCTGGTCAGTCCATTTAATAGCCAACCCACACCAGATGATTTCACTGATTAGTTGCTGCTCTCTACTTGGTCTACTTGATCAGATGTCATTTAACTCTGATGCTGTCTTTCATTAGAGGGGAAGTTTGCTGACTCAACTGTCAATGGCACAAGGTTGCCTATTTGATACGTCTTTCTAAAGAGGATGAATAAAACACATATTATAATCTTAAATCATTTTTAAAGGAACAACACACAACATTTATACAGACTACTTAAAAGAAGGTGGGAACAGGATACATTGCTTCATAAGCCAATCATCATAACACAACGTCTACAGTTCTACAGATATGATTTAAAATATTACCGAAGAGTATTAAAGACAGATCTTTATCAATATAAAAAAAAACAAATGTTAAATAATACAGTTAATGTTTTTTTCTTGGTCAAAGATGCATCATTTTATCAAATCTGTTCCTTAAGCCCTTTTTTAACAAAATAATCTATCAAAGTGCTTCAGCTTACAAAGAGATGCAGACGCCAACAGGAACACAGAGAAATGCCCAGAGAACAGGCCGACACAGGTGGATACAACACGTCCTTGGCTGAAGTAACAAAGTAAAGATTAAGTCAAATGCACACCCACAAAGTCATGTGACTGTGTTTGATGTCCTCTATGTTCATAGAGCCATGGCGTTGTACAGTTAAAATCAAATCAAAGTTTACTGTGGGTAGAATTCATTTTAGCTAAATGTTAGACATACAAACATTTGCAAATCTGGAAATAAAGCAGAATATGCGTGAATAACAACCAAATTGCTTACTCAGACTTTAATAAAACTACAAGATGCCAATACTCACACAGGCACTTATCAGATACATATGTTTGATTTTCACAAGTGTGCAAAGAGATTTATGGAAAACAGAGTAGGAGATTTGGTTTTACTCTTTCTCCACATGTTCGTGCTCTCACTCGTCCTGCTGCTCTTCATTCTGCTTCTTGGGCAACTGCAAATGGAAAAAGAATTACGATTGGAAAAAAATCATTGTACAGAATATATGTTGGGGAAAATCTGCCCTAAGCAGAATTGACACTGTGGTTTCTTCATTCTGTGAAGAAAGTACATACAGTGGTACAGAAATATAAACTGTAGCTCTGTTCCCAGGAGAGTTTTCCTTAAATGACCAGGCAATAGCTGTTTATTTAAATAATATTTTCTCTCTCCTCAGCAACCTTATATTTCTAATGGAAATACATGAACATATTTTATAAACTTGTGTGTGTGTGTGTGTCTCCTTAAAAGGCAACCTTCTTTCCCATACAGTCATCCCTTATCGTTGCACATTCCGGGTTTCAACAGGTTTCAACCAGTTCAATAAAAGACATTTTAAGACCATAATGAATGAAATCTATAATGACGTCACGTACGAGAAATATGAAGGAATATCAGAGTCCCAGGTTTACTAACACTTCACTATAGTTGAAGCTAAGGTGAAGTAACCTGGTCGAGAATAACACTCTGACATTACCATTTCAAAAGTTTAAGTACTGCGATAGTCACTGCCCTCATGATGCAGATCATGCTATATTTTTTGTTTTTATGTTAAAAGAGTAGAAGGCGTCTTGCTTTGGTTTGTCTAGCTATTAACTTATGTGTTGCATTCATTACCTTTGTCACTGGATTACTTCTGTTGCCTCTCCCTTCTTTATTTTCTGGTGGATGTGGTCTGGTGGAAAAAAGCAAATTAGATTATTAATAACATTACAAAAATGTTTTATACGTAAGTCTATTCACTCAAATTCAATTTGAATTTTCAAAATGTGTCGATAAAAAAACTTGATATTTGCTTTTACCCCTTTAGAGATGTAGAGGCTGAAGTGTCAGAGTCACAGAAAGATGATTGAGCCCCTTCTGCTTCCCTGCTCTGCCAAGGTCTGTTCTTCACTAAAACTTCACTGTTGGACGGGTTCCTTTGACTCGGCAGTCCAATGTAGCCTCTCTGCCAATCCCTTGGTTTGTTTCCTGGTGCGGCATCTCTGTCAAATCCAAAGTCCTCATCCAAGAAGTCAGCTGTATGTGGACAGTATATGAAGTAAGCATATAAAACAAAACACATACAGACAGACCAGAGGACCATAAAAACCCTGCACACAGATTTACAGACGCTCTAGAAGTTGCTATCAAATTCACATAAATCACTTTACAAACACGTGTTGTCTTCACACATCGAGGTTTTAAACTGGACGCTAATTTGTTACATACACGTAAAATAAAAAAATTACACACACAACAACACCACTGCCGAAATGACCATGTCACAGTCAAATATAAGCTGTAGATTTCCAAGGGTATGATTCAATAGTATTTCTTGCAAAGGAATTGTCTATTAATGATTATATAGACTGACTATGAGACCGAATCGCCATTCATTTGAAATGATGCATTGATTACTATAGACTGTTCATCAGTATAAACTGTTTGAAAAGCCGACAATTGGAAGCTCTACACAAGGCTAATGGTTCGAAATCTTAAATCCTTTTTTTTGTTCCAACACAAAAGATTATTTCTTGCTGCAACAGGAGACTCATCACCACAGTTTAAATTACACACGGTGTTCACATAAAATAATTAAGTCAAAAACCCTAGGGCATATCTATACATTAGTAATGCTTCACTATTCTGAATACATCTTATACATTACCTTGTTGTTTTACTCTCTGATCTGGAGGGCTCAGTGGTTTTCTGATGGATGCTTTTGTTATATTATTCAGTGGATGAGCAGTTTGAGGGCGCATGTCACATTTGTCCTGGAGGCAAAACACACACAGACATCACAAAACATGAGAATTTTAGATGGTGGCTGTGTACTTGTTTCCTGCTCTTTAATGTTTAATATTGTGCCACCAGCAACAAACCTGATGGTGAAAAAGGACAGCCTCTTCTAGAACAACGCCACAGAATTCACATGGAATAACCACATCGCCCTCTAGTGGACTGGCTGGAGGGCTGTAAGAGGCAGGGGAGAGGGACCGAGGGAAAGTGGGGATGTTTGAAGCGAGCGTGTTAGGGAGGCTGTGCATCAGCCCTGAGGCATTCCTGCTCATCCTGTCCTCTTTCGGCGGAGAGGTGGGCTGCTTGCTGAAAGACGCAAAAGCGGAGGCAGGGCTGCAGCCAGTCTGAAACAAAGAAGAGGGGTGATAGGTTGACTCTCTGATCGGGTTATTTTGTTCCTCTGAGAGGGAGAAGAGAGTCACATGTTCAAACAGTAAAAGGCTGTAAAACACTGTGAAGCACAAATAAAGAACAGGTCTTCAAATGATTGCTCGCCATGTGACATCTGACTGGATCTGAGCAACGATTAGATTTGTGCACACCCAGATTTATTTCTTAACCATTAGATTGTAGAAACATAATAGGGAGGAAAGCAGCCTATGAACATGTTTTACAGAAAATAGAGCAACACAGAAAAATGTGGGTCAAAGCAAGTGTTTGAGGCATCTCTGCATCCAAGAGGACTAAAGACCTAAGGATCAGCAGCTCATTTTCCGATTCACTTTCAATTTGTCTTTTGGCAGTAATTAAAACAACTTTTAAGTACAGGTGAATATGAAAGTCAGAAAGAACTAAATTATAAAGCATGAAAAGGCAGAGATTCTGAAAGATTTAAGTTGCATCTCACACCTGATGCAA